TCTTTGGATGATCACATGATAAAAAACAAGTAAAACACTATGCAAACTTTCAAGTACTACATAAATATCAGCATTATCATCTTAGGTGTCAATTCCCTATCATTTATTTTTATCCTCTATTTTGCAGTCTAAAAACCATTCTCCTTGGAATACAAACCAGACGCTCAAATTGTATCTGTGATCTTAGTGATCCCAAAGTTGTCTCCTACAGTTCATACTGCAATATCCATATCTGTCTATCATCCTGTGAGACTCTTGTACATGTCTTTCCATAACATCATCACAGGCATGCACCCAATGTGCCTTTTCATTTTCTCCTTACATTGTGAGGTTGTACTCTGGCTCTCTATCCCTCACCCCTGGCTGTATAACTAACCCACGTCATATTCCAATCATTTTTTTGATGACCTATTTTATTCCTGCCTTCATCCAACTTCCTCATTGGTTGTATGTTGCAACCTGCTCACACACACAACATGTGTTGCTCCATTGCCCTCTGTGTGATATTAGTTTTTAATAACTTTAGAGATTTGTATTCTAGCTCTCATTGCCTTAAAGGAGCACCAACAGAATTAAGGCATTAAAAATGAGATATTTAGAAGCAAAAGAAAGAATTAATTAAGCAGCTCTGCTTTCTCTGTTATCCTAATGCCACTCCCAACAAGCAATGGCCTTTATCCCTTCTTTGATCCCATTTCTTTTCTCCAACATTGCTTAAAAAAAAAAAGACTACTTTTTATTCTTAATTTTCCTAACTGGTGCCAACTTATTCTAGTCCTATTGATATGACATTATTCTCATAGGACTTGGTCACAATTTTGTAGTCACGCTCTCTTACTTGTCCTCACTTCCACATAGGCTTCTTAATAAAATCTAAATTGGTTGATGATCTCTGTACAGCCACACTAATATTCTGTAGGCAGCTCCCTCTTCTCTTTTTCAGAATGGCTTCTCTTTGTTTCCTCAGAATTTCTTTCTATGTACCTCCCATCTTTCCTGAGCAGAGTTCTAGAAAATGTTAATCAATGAGATTCTAGGTATTCTTTTTTTAAAAATTCTTCCAAATTCGTTCTCCTCAAATTTATAGTAAATGTTGCACTGTGCCCTTTATCACAAATTCTAAGACAGAATAGTCATTGTCCACTTCCTGATAACCCCACTCCCTAACAGGATTCCCATAATTTCCATCCCAAGAACTAACAGCTCCTTATTAAAAGAATCATATCCAAAGTAGAAGCTCCTCTCCTTGGATCCTACCAACTTTTGAAATGATCAAGGATGAAATTATCATTAAGGTAAGAAATTAAGAACTGCTCTGCTTTTGGCAAAAGAAATATTACACTAAATGTCCAAATAACTGAAAGGCTCCATCACTACTTTATCATGCCTTTGTGTCAGGAATGCAGATCTGTTTCCTAAACTCTTCACTTATTTCATTTTTTCTGTCCAACTGGTCTGTAGTATATTCCACTGACAGCTGTCACTTGTTTTTACCTCCACTGACCTACACCCAAATTATTTCCACCGTGCTTCACTTTTCTATACCATCTTTACTACATAAGAACATCTTCTTAATATACCATGCTACTTTGCGAATCTCCCTCCTACCCCCTTTACCCATCCTATTGTTGTTTTTTTTTAAAATAAGGTATCCTCTTCTAGAGTTAATTCTAGCATTTGGTCTCATTCTACCAAGTTTCAGTGACACTTAACAGGTTGAATTTACTTCTTTGTGTTAAAATATCTGGCTCACCTAGCTTGTTACAACCATGCTTTGTGCAGGTGCAAAGACATCTGAGGTTATGAGTTTTGTTTCCTGTGAATTTTTAAGTGTCACTACAGCTATTCTTCCTACAATATGGCTACTTTCTGTGGTATCCAATGTGTTGGATAGGCTTAGGTAATTTTTTCCCTCAGTTTTCCCTTCCAGGTTAACATTCTTTGGGTTACGTTGGCAAGATTCTTAACAAAACCATTCTTACCAACTCTTGCTAGGTATACTCTATCCCTGACCAATAGTCTTTCATTTCCATATTTTAAGTCACTATTTAGAAACTGATTTTTCAGGTAATCATTTCATACATTTGTATAGTGGCAGTTTTCAAAGCTCTTTCACATACAGTACATCAACTGAATTCAATACAAGGCCCAGGAATCAATGTTACTGGATATAAAAAGATAAAAAATGAATGGTCTCTACTCACAAGAAGTTTACAATACGGTGAAGTGTAAGTGGGGCCTGATGATGGAGCTCTATCCTCAGATCATATGCAGTATTCTGCCTGGGGCTCTTCATGTGAAAGAGGCAGGGGGAGCATGCTTCTGGAAGGGTGTGATGAAACGTAATCAAAGGGCTTTGCTCTTTGATTCAGAGCACAGGCAGGTATTCTGACTGTTAATGGTCCCTTTACCATGTGAAGAAAAGGAACTCTTCCAGTGACTGCTGAGCCAGAACTGAGAATGCTTTCAAAAAAATACAAACTAGTCCAGGAATTTCCTCTTCTTTATCCGGCTGCATTCAAATGCTGTAAGTCTCAGGATGAGAAAAGGCTTTGGGCCCATCCATTTCCCAAACCAGGGCCAACATTCATCCCATGAAAATGGGCCCATGTTCTGTCCATTTATTCTTTCATACTTTTAGATTAATTAATAGCTAATACTTACATAGCACTTACTATGTGCCAGGCACTGTACTAAGTATTTTACATTATTTGATTTGAACCTCACAGCAAACCCTTTGAGGCAGGTGCTAGCATTATCTACATTTAACAGATGAGGAAATCGAGGCAAACTGAGGATTAAGTGACTTGTCCAGGGCCACATAGCTAGTAAGTGTCTGAGGCTGGATTTCAACTGAGCTCTTCCTGACTTCAGACTGGGGCATTCTATCCACTGAACCACATAGCTGCCCTGATGCCATATAGGTGCTAGACAGAAACTGCTTTAAGTTTGAGCCCACTTTCCCATTAGAATGACATAATTTAGGGGACAGTGTGCCCCCATGTGTTAGGAATTGTTTGTACTTCTCTTCTTGCTACAACTTCACAATTAATATATCTTTGTAAAAGAGTATCAATAACCTGCCCGGTTGAGGTTTGGAAGAATACATCAGAATAATAGCCAATAGTATTAGAGAAGAATCCTCCCAATCCCTCAAGGGTACCTCTAGAACCTAGAGGGAGAAACATAGCCATCTTGCTCAAGGAGTCAACCAACAGCAAGAGTTAGAATGAAGTTCCTTAGCTTAAAAGAGCTACAGAAGGAATGGGATATGTAGACAAATAAATATGACCCAATAAAGAATTCAACAAGACCAAGTGGCAATCAGTAGGTCAATAGGCACTTACTGTTTCCTATGCTTCAGGCAGGGTGTTAAGCACTGGGCAAACTACAGGTAGATAAATTGAATAAGAAAATTCTGGAGGAGATAATTTTTGACCTTGGGGAAATCACAAAAGGTTCCACAAAAGAGAAAACACTTCAGCTAGGCTTTAAAGGAAGGTAATTTTAGTCTATGGAGATAAGATGTAGGTCCTTGTAGGTATTAGATATAGATCCTTTTATTCCAGGGATAGGAAGAAGGCCTGTGTGAATGAGTGGAGATAGGGCCAAAGCAAGGGCAGTCCAAATGAAGTAGAGTATGTAGCACATAAAGGAAAGTAGAGGGAAACAGAGCTAGAAAGGTAGGCTGGAGCTAATTCTAAAGGGCTTTGAATGCCAGGCTGTGGGGTTTGCTTTTTATCCTACAGAATAAATGGTCTCTAAATATTTTAGATACCCATCAAGTAAAAAGTAAAATTTGAGCATGTACCCTAAATATGTATATATTTACTTATTCATAAATTACACACAAGTACTATAGTAATAATTATATACATTGCAAAACTTGCACAAAAGTAGAAATGTTTTAAAAAGATGAGATAAAGATAAAATAACATTTGATCTCAGAGATAATAGGAAACCACTGGCATTTATTAAGTACAGGACTAATGTGGTCAGACTTACACTTTAGAAAAATAACTTTGGCAACTGTGTGGATTGGAAAGAGGAGAGATTCAAGGTAGGGAGATGAATTAGAAGGCTACTACAACAATTCTGGAAAGAGGTGGTGATGATCTGAACCAGATATGAACTTAGGTTTTCCTGACTCCTGGCTCATCACTGTATCCATTGTCCCACCTAGCCGCCTTACTGATGGCAGGAAAACCTGAGTCCAAATCCAGTCTCAGACACTTAGTAGCTATATGATCCTCAGCTATTTCTGAGGAAGAGAAAGGAGGTCATTTTGACTAGATTGAAAAGTGTGGAAATGGAAGTAATGTACAATAAGGCTGGAAAGACATTGGGACCAGGTTATAAAGGGCTTTAAATACGAAACAGTAGTTTATATTTGATCCTAAAGGCAACAAGGAGTTCATTCAGTAGGGGATTAAATAGTAAGATCTATCCTTAAGGAAAATTACTTTGGCAGTAGTGTGGGGGATAGAGTTGGAGGCAGAAGAGGCCTGAAGCAAGAAGGCTAGTCAGTCCAAAGTCCAGTGCAACAATCTGAGTAAGAAGTAATGAGAGACTGAAGTAATGTAGGGGCTCTATGAGTATAGAGAAGGGGTCAGATCTGATAGATGTGAGAAATATGTGCAGTAAGGGAGCAAGAATAACACCAAGGCTATGAACCTAGGAGATTATGAAACTACATAAAGTTGATAACTGAAGCTCTAGGAGTGAATGACATAACAAAGGGAGAACATGTAAAGTGCTCCTGAGCGACCTTTCTTTCCCAAGCTGTTTCATATTTCTGGAAGGATCTATCTAATTTCAATACATCTCCAATGATAGGCTTTAGCTACAAATACCTCTAGATTTTTAGAAAGATATATAATTTTAATGTCATTCAGTAAAGGTGCTATCCTTCCTCTGGGAATTAAAATGTCAGTTTGCCAACTGGAAAGCAAAAAAGCTGCCATTAAAAAAAAATTATCAAGACCCACTTGCTGAATTACCTGTAATCATTCCGATCGTCAGCTTTTATTCCAGGCCAATCTTTCTTCAGGTACTGACTAGCCAATTTCTGGATGCCCTATTGACAAAGGAGGGAAGATATTTTTCAACATAAGTATGAGGTCACAAAGGAAGGTCTTTCTTAATAACAAACTCCTCCCCTATATGCCCTTTGTACTTTCACAAATAAACATGATTTTGCTCATGTTGACACCTATTTTCAGAATCAAATTTAGAATAATCTGCTATGAAAGCAGAACCACACCAGCCACGTTCCATTCCCTTCCAGCTCTTATTTCGTTCTTCAGGAACAGAGTGAGTTTAAGGCTTAGAGATTTTAGGTTTTATGGAGCTGCTGGATTTGCTTCTTAATTCAGGAATCAGCCAAGCTGATTCTCTCACATGGGCACCTCCTAATAGGATCCGAGATCTAGAGCTGGAAGGGGTCCTTAGTCCAATCCCCTCTTTTGATACATAAGATAGAGTAAGTAATGGCTTCTATTTAGATAGCGCTTCAAGGTTTACAATGATGTTATGAGGTAGTTAGTGTAAGTATTGAATTTACTGTAGAGTGGAAAACTGAGGCTCAGAGACACAGAGAGACCACCATAATCATACACCTAATAAACGGCAAAGACAGCATTAAAACTCAGATTTGCTCCATGTACCTGTATGCTCCCATCAAACCCTCTCCTACTAGGATGGAAGGACAAATTATCCAGGTGTCAAGTAAGTCCTGTATACTCAATTTCCCTCTAACATGCTCCCAATCATTAATTAAATTTAGACAGTATTAGAAGGCATCTTAAAGACCATCAAATCTTAACCCCTTGTTTCAAAAAAGAAAAATATAAAGCCATAAAAAGGTAGAGGAAGGCTTTGATCTAAATGATGTTAGTGGTGCAACTGAGGCTAAAACAAGGGCTCTTCTAATTCCTATGGGTACTGGGTTTAAGCATTTGATGCAGGCTGGTACTGAAAAAACAAACTTCAGAACTATTTGATACTGACACTCCAAAAAGATTGATATTCTCCCCTGGGACAGGTCTCAGACTGATGAAGCCTGATATCTATCCCCTTTCCTCTCCCAAACTCACCACCCTAGCTCAGGTCCTTATCACCTTTGCCTATTACCTTATCATAACAGCCTACAACATTGGCGTCCCTGGTCTCCCTCTTCACCCTAGCCAAAAGAAGCTTCCTTAAACTTTTATTTAACCACATCATTCCCCTGCTCAAAAACATTCACAGGCTCCTTCCTTTTAAGATAAAACATGACATTCTTAGAATAGATTTCATGCCTTTCAGAGCATGGCTCCAAGCCTGCCATTCCAGCCTTACTTCATTTCCATGTTCTCTGTGTACTGCTGGACCTCTAGCAGTTTCCAAAACTCAACCTAAATGCTCAGCCCTTGTAAATTCCCACAGATTGTCTCCCAGGCCCAGAACTTACTCATTCCTCATTTCTACCTGTTAAACAATCCTGCTTTTTTCAAGACTCAGCCAACTCCAGGGCCATGTCCTTCAAGAAGCCTTTCTGAAAGTGATTTCTTCCTCCCCAAGTCATTTGGTCTAGATTTATCCTTTGCCCTAATCACATTCTACTTTGTTTCATACTTATTTATGGTATGTGCTGTATCTCTTCTATTAGGCTGTAATCACCCTGAGGATATCAACTGTATTAATTTTTCATCTTTATGTCCCTAGAATATAGCAAGGTGAATAATACTACATTTTATATAATACTTTAAGGCTTACAAAGTAGTTTCTTTAGAATAACAACATAAGGAAGAGTAGTAGAAATATTCAATCTTTTTCAGAGATGGAGAAACTGAGGCTCAAAGAGTTTAAGCAGGTCAGGTCACACAGCGAGTGTCAGAGCTAATCTCTGAACTAACTTGACTCCTGTTAATGCACTTTCTAGTTTACTCTGTGTAATCTGTTGAAATAGTAGCTTCCACTTTCACAGTGCTTTAGAGTAGAGTGCTTTCCTCACAACAAACCTGTACAATAGGCAGAACAAGTAGTATCCCTATTTCACAGATAAGGAAACTGAGGCTTAAGAATGGTTAAATGAATAAGTCATACTGTTAGTATCAAAGCCAGTACTGGAATGTGAATATCTATCTCCAAGTCTAGAACTCTCACCAGCATAACATGGTTAAACTAAATACAGCTTAATTTCTTCAGTTTTTAAGCATCATAAAAGGTATCTCTTTTTAGTTTTATATTTAATGCCTCAACTTTATCTTAAGTACTTTATTTGTATCTATACTCATAAAATTTCTTCCTTTCTTTCCCCCTCATAACTTTACTCTAAAATAGTCGACTTATGCATGCATCTGGCTTTCCATCCAGAGCCAGCTTTGGTCATCTTTTACATTCCCAATCCTTTCTGTTAAAGGATGACTGTGATGAAGGTTTATCTCACTGGTAAAGTTAATTGAAATCTAGATCTCCTGAAATACCTTTTTCCATAATTCTTCCCCATTATAAAGGAAGATGATTTATAAGTAGTTGAAGGATGATGACATGTTTAGAGCTCCCTTCCTTCTGAAGTTATAGGTTTTGGGTCTTGGGCACTTTTGCCCCCTTCCAAGGGCAGGGAGCTTCAACTAGCTAATATTTTCTCTACCATAGGGAACAAGGTACTTAAGGGCACAACCCTGGAGACGGGTCAGTTACTCAAGACTCAAGCAAGCTGCCATTTCATTACTGTGGGTCTTCTTCACACTGACAAAACTTGTAACCCTTCTACAATTTAGGAGATGGTCTTCAAGAGTTGCTGTAACTGAAAAATCCATTCTCTCATGGCTATCCTACTAATAAACCTCCAGTGGCTGGGCTGGTCCTCAGATGACAAATACCCAGGCCCTCACTGGGTCTTACTCCAAGCCTTTCCAGACTGGTAGGATCTGATACAGTTTTTCTCTTTGGGCATAGTCTCTGAGAACCCAAAGCCATCACCCTACCATAACATTTCACTGGACAAAGGCTTTCATGGAGGAGGTACTAGGGAAAGCAAAATAAAAGCAAAATAGTCTCTGCCCTCAAAGAGATGACATTCTATTGTCCATCCATGGGGCAGGGAGGGGGATACAGCATGTATAAAGGTTAACTATTACATGAGACAAGGAATACGGGGGGCAGGGGCAAGATTTGGACAAAATGCTTTTGGAACATAAGGAGTTGAAGTAAAAGATATTTTATTTGAATAAATTCACTATTTGTTAAATGTTTAGTATGCATAGGGACACATGCCAGGCACTGGGGACACAAAAACACAAAGATTAAAAATTATATATTCCTTCCCCTTTAGGAGCTTACATTTGACTTGATAGGAAAACGCCATGTGCCTGGAAAAGTATAATACAAGGGAAGGAATGATGGAGTAAAGGAAAAATACAGATAAGATGTTCTGTTAGGGGCAACAAAAGATTTTTCTGGGGGGAGGCAAGACATAATATCTATCTTCAGATATTTGAAAGGATCCCCTGGAATAGAAGTATTAGGCTTCTTTTGCTTCCGGTCTTCTTATACTTTATATTCCTCCATGAACTATGTGAACCAGCTACACTGGCATTCCTGTCAGTCCTCCCCCATCTCCATGCCTTTGGACTGACTGCCCCTAGGCCTGGAATACTCTGGCTCCTCACTTCTACCTCTTAGTTTCCCTGGCTTCCTTCAAGTTCAAATTCCCTCTTAGGCAAGAGGCATTTCCCTGTTCCTTCAGCTGCTAGTGCCTTCCCCTCTGGGATCACCTTCCATCCACTCTGTATAGATGATGTATGTACCTAGTGTTGCACATGTTGTCTCCCCTACTAGAATGTGAGCTCATTGAAAGAGCAGGGACTGTGGTGCCTTCTAGTTAACTCAGAGCTTGGCGCATGGCCTGCTCCATAGTAAAGGCTTCATTAATGCCTGTTGGCTGACACACTTGTTCAGAGAAAAAATAGAAGCAATAAAAGTGAAAGGTCTAAAGGTAGACTGTTGCTTAATAAGAAAAATATTCCTCTCACTAGGGCTATTTACAAGTGAAAAATGGGCTGCCTCAAGTAGTCATCTCCCCATCATAGAAGGTCATAGGTCATAAGATAAAAGGAAGATAGATTTAGAGCTCTAAGTGACTTTAAAGGTCATTTAGGACAAACCCTTCATTTCACAGATGAGGAAACCAAGTCCCAGAGAGGTTATGTGACTTGCCCACGGTTCCAAGTGCAATAATAGAAGTAGGAATCAACCTAAATCTCTAACCCTACATCCAATGCTCTCTCCATGCAATGCATCACCTCTCTTCAAATGGAGGCTTCTGACCACTCTTTGAGGACAATTTCTGTGTAGTTAGGGTTATTCTGAGGTCTCTCTCAACCATGAAATCTATGATGACAGAGTTAGTATTCTTGGAATACCTATAGAAACTTCAGCTGAATAGTGATGGACTAATTTCACAGTAGCATAAGTAACCTAAAATAATCTAAACATCTTTAAACATCTATGTAAGCCATATAAAAACAATGAGCTTCCTACCTCCCCTAGGAGACTGATGTTTATGGAATTTTAAAAATTCATTAAGTCCTTTCTTTCTTTCTTCCTTCCTTTCTTTCTTTTACACATGATCAGTTGAATAGCAGGGGTAAAAGCTAAGTTCACGGTTTGTACCTGCACATATTAATGAATTTAATTCCCTGCCACAGAATATAAAGTGTAAAGTAGAAAAAGAAATTCTATAACAGCTGGCACCCTGCATGAATTCATAAGCCTCTTTCCTAACTCACTAAATAATTTCTATAACAAGCAGGTAAGTGGACCACTAAGGTAATGAGATGTCACTTTAAGCATGAGACATGAATTGTATTTCTTACCAGTTGAAGGGACTTACAGAAATTCTTCTAGAAAATTTCCTACTGTCTCCCTCAAAATGAAGTACTAAGTCATTTTTATCAAATGTGAATTAGCTTCCCTTTGAAAGGAAGCACTAAGGGAATGTGATTATAATTATGAAATCAAGTTCTATTCCCTACTCTGTAATCACTACTATAATCGTTAATGCCCAGGCTCACACAATGATAGAACTAGAAA